GGGTCTCGGCCGGCGCGGAGCTGCCCGGGCGCGGTGGGCCCCGCTGTGGGGCGGGTGCGGAGGGGTCCGGAGCCCCGGCCTGGCGGGAGCGTGGGAAAAAAGCGGAAGCGTCCTGCGAGTTCCCCTTAGGAACTTAAAAGGAGCGTTCTGCCGGCAGTGCCGCTGGTCGGTGGCTGCTCAGGCCGAGCCTGCGCCCGGGGTGCCGAGCCCACCACCTTCCCTGCTGCCGCTCACTCGGCCCGGTCTGCCGGAGCGAGGAGGCGACCCGGGCGCTGCTGCGGGTCCCGGCGGGGCGGGGCGGCGCGGCTCTGCCGCGATGCTTGCTGTTGGGCGCCCTCCGCGCTGTGGTTTTTAATAATAGTTACCCCCTCATTACGGGAAGGTCCGGATGTTGTGTTACTCCTGTTTATGGAGCAGTGTTGACTTGCGTGTTGTCAAAGATGATTCTCAGATCGTGCGCATACACTAAGTAAATGCTTGTGGATAGCAAAGAATTCCTTGTGTAGTCTAATGTTCATCTTAGTTTTAAATCTTAGGAATTTGTAAAGGAAGTCAATAAAATTTTAGGGTTGGATGCCCTCTTTAAAAACATTTGAAAAAGTTAATTCATTCTGCAGTTATTTCCGTGACAGTTGAAAATAGAAGTTTTATTACAGCCCGTGGATTAGTGTTTGTTTTAGCTGTCTATTAATTTTTTAAAATATGTGGGAGCATACACAGCAATAACTGTTCAGATGATTTTGCTAGAGAACCAACGATTGCTTTTATCGAAGTCACTGTACTGCGTCACTTTACTGAAGTGCACATCTTGTAACTCTTTAATAAAGATATTTAGGAGTTGTATAGCAATTAATTTGCAGTTAATAAATTAAGGATTTGAAATTTAATGCTCTTTATAGAAGATTAAGGTTAAGCAAAATAGTGATTTTTCCTAACAGTGCTTTTAATATTTGAAATGTTTTTTTTTAAAGTTCATAACTAGGATAATGATAGATAAAATAGCAGGTTTTTAAAAATGGTACTTGGAGAGAAGCAGGGGAAGTAAAAATGATCAAGACAATATGTGTATGTTCCGATCCCCAAAGATGAATGTGTTAAGTATCAAGAACCTATGAACAGAAATTATAAAAAATGGCATATATTTATAAGAACAGGTTAAGACTACATGCGTACTTACATCAAGATTAATTAGAATTTACACTGTTTGAAAGAAAATTTAGAAGTGGCTCTAAGTTGAATCAAGTAACTAAAGTCAAACAAGTTTGTTGGTAATACTACTAACATTTGTGGGGTGTTATGAGTTGTAATAGCTAAGGTTAAACTCCTTAATATTTGTGTTATCCATGGATTGGGAAAGAGACTTTCTAAGAACTAAGGAAAAGGTAGAAAACATTTTTTTATTTGACTTTCTCATAAGAGTAGCACATTTTGCCATGGTTACAGATAATTACTGATCATTGAAATGTTGCTTGACTTTCAAAACGTATTGAATATCAGAAATTGGGTATTGTATGGGTTAATATGTTCATCAGCATTTTCATATTTGAACAGCTGACACCAGACCTTAGATTACTGAGACGAGTATCAGTCTCACATCCCACAGTTCAGATCGCTTATACCTGCCATAAACTAATATCTCTTATCTTTTCAGGGAATAAGATGAGGGTAGTATTGATTCCTAGTCTTCAGTTATAATATAGATAAGTGTTAAGGGAATGATCTTTAGAAAAAGACAGATATTCTCTTGATCTTCATCATAGGTGTGTCAGATAGAAGAGCCCGAAAGTAAGGTAGGCTTCATCCCCTCCTCAAAAACCTAGTCTTTCAGTCGATACTAGCTCACAAGATCCTGAAGACACCCTGAAGGACCACTGAATCTGACAGATTGGTGTTACTAGTGGTGGTTTCAGTCCTGGCACACACACCTACACAGATACACACGTGCTTACACCTGTGTTTATATGCTCATTCTTTTAAAGCATTTGTGCATAGATATATATAAACCCACAACAGAGTATGTTGGATACAGAGACAATAAAATGTTTAACTGAACAGCCATCTATATATATGCGTACTTGTACATAGTGCTTCATATATTTGAATATTACTGTGAAAACACTGGTTGTAGCCATTTTAGTTCCTTTTAGGGTCCTTAGGATTGTGATGCTATTTATTAGCCAATTTACGTGGCCACCAATTTCTTCGTTATAAGTATGGGTTAATGTGTTAAATGATTTGGATATTTAAAAAGGACATTAAATTACTTGTGGCATTTGAAGAGTATTCAGACTTTTCTCAATTGAGGCTGTAATACTTGCGTATAAGAAAACATTTAAATAGTATGAGAGGCCACATGGTTATGGAGAGTACCCAATGAAAAGGAAGCTTCCTCATATCTCAGACCTCTGGTCTCCCTCTCAGGGCAGTCGTTGGTAATTTAGTGTTTCCACAAAATTACTGTGTACATACAAACGTCTGTATGTTATATATGATTGCTATTTATATGTATAAATATATTTAATGATACATATTGATACATAAAATGTATTTGGTAAACATACAGGTATACAAAATGTATATGCAATGTACATGTATATCTGTCTTGAAGTATAATTTATGTTTATTTAAAGACTTTTAAAAATATATATATGTTGTCTATGCTTTAAAAATACTGAGAGAACATTTTATAGTCTTGTTTCTTCCTTGGAGATTTAATATGGAGATTATTTCTTTAATAGCATATATATAATTTTTAATAATGGTGGCATATTACATTATATAATGCTGAGTTATATGAAATTGCTCCAACACCACATCAAACTTGATCAAATATAGAAGTTTTGTGGAGTTCTCTTTTTTTTTTTTTTTTTGGTTTTTCTCCGGTACCGGGAACCAAACTCACGACCTTGCGCTTGCCAGGCAGGCTGGAGTTCTCTATTGCAGGAAGTAAGCATGGTTCCAGGACAGCATGCTAACTTCAGCTTTTTGTGTAGTGTATTGCATATGGTGCCGTTACTTTATTTTTTAAATGTATTTTTATTGCTGCGTGTTTGCAGTACGTAATGATTATATTCATCGTGGGCTGTTTGTACATGTACCTATACATCCTCATTCCTTTTACTTCCCCTTCCTCTCCCCTGGGGTATTTTGCTTTTTAAAGAATAAGATTAGTATGCCTTTAAAATTAGTGTGGCTCAATGAAATCCTCATGTATTTCTTCGCTCCCTTGTCACAGCCCATAGTGTTTACTTTTTGTTCCATTTCCATTTACCTCTTGGGTTTCCTTGTGTGTTTTGCTGTCCTCTTTGCTGTTTTTGTCTTTCACTTTTTTTCCTTTCTCTGTATCAGCCAATTGGATTAGGTAGTCTTATGTAGGTCCCCAGTTGCTGAATGCTAGGTAATTTTACTGGCCACCTTTATTTCCTAAAGGCAAAATAATCATAGTAAAGTGAAAGTGGTACTGATGTGGGAAAGCCAAACAGGAGAGGAGTGTTCTCTACTCTTCCTCCTTTTATCCCCTCCCTTTATTTCTGAGTTTGTGGATTTTGTGTTCAGACATACTGTTGTAGAAAATTTCACAGGTATGTACTGAGAATGAGACATTTTGAAACAATGCTAAGACAAACTTAGACCAGTTGGATTTTGAACATGAATGTGAGGCTTTGTATGCTTTTGTTTCACTCATGAATCCGGCAATCTTTCGTTTTGCAGGAATGGCCAGAGTTGGTCGCTTGAAGGCTAGGATTGCTTAAGGGTCATAAACCAAATGGTGAACAAATAGGGACAATTGCAGTGATTTTCAGGCATTGAGACCTCTTGGCCAAGGTCATGAAGCTTCACGTGTCAGAAATATCCCGTTTAGGTGTCTTGTGTTCTCATTTTATTGTTTGTATTTATCAGTATTCTTGTATTCAATTTATAACAGCCGTCAATGAGTTTTTAAATTTAGGGAAAACATGCCCAAATATTGGAGTAAGACATTTTTAAGGCTGGTAGAAAAAGAATAATGATCAATTATTCAGTTATTGTCTCATTCATGTACCCTGTCCCCCTGCAACTGAGAACTGAACCCAGGGCCTTTGTCCTGAGCTACATTCCTAGCTCTTTTTTTATTTCTTATTTTGAGTCAAGATCTCACTAAGTTGCCCAAGTTGGGCTCAAATTTGTGATTCTCCAGCCTTAGCCTCCCAGGGTGCTGCGATTATAGGCATGTGCTACCATGCCTGGCTAGTATGCTCTTTCTTTGTATGTTGTTTTTAATTTAACATGAAGAATATATAAATAAACTTGTGTACCTTTATGGTTGGGTAGTGTATGAAAATACTGATTGGCATTTTTCTCTGCTTTGTAGGATACAATTTATGCAATGAAAACACCATGAACCCTTGGTAGACAGGGAGGACTTGCTCAGTGCCTTCCAAATTGTAGGTGGCAGCACATTAGGAGGTTGTGATAGTTCAC